GTCTCACCTGCTGCTCCCCTCAGCAGTGTGTCAGTAGATCTGCCTGTTATGCTCCCAACTCTGTCTCTGGTGAACCCTCTCATCCCTCCACTCTTCTTGCCTACACCCCAGTTCTTCTATGTTAAAAAATAAATAAAATCTTTTAAAAATCATATATTTGTAATTTCTCATGTTGATAATTTTAACATGTTCTGCAAACCTTAGGAGACAAGAAGTACCTTATCAGTAACCAGCACAAAGGGAAGGAGAGAGCAAAAGCTAAAGGAAGGATGAAACTTTTTATCTACAATAAGGCCAGGGAGAGAAGTGAAGGGCCTTTATGTATAAAATAGATTAGTGAAGAGTGAGGAGGAAGTGGTACAGGTCATGAAGTTCTTGTTTCCCCAAAGGATGTGCATCTTTAAAATTAACTCCTCTGACACAGGTGGCAGGGGTGGTGTGACTGATAAGAACTGGCCTAAGGCGTATATATATCCATTCTTTATGGAGTCATATTATTTTGTCTGTAGGTAAAAAAAAAGCTCTGGAGAAAACAACTGAAACACTTCCTACCATGTGTTCTGGGGAAAGTTAATCCTGTTGTGGTATATGATGAATTATTTTAATTAAAACTGAAAAGTCTCAGTACTCATTTCTTGCCAGAATGTTTTGGAATTTCGGAGCTTATCTCATTTTCTGATCATGTGGAATTGACCCTTAGCTGATAGTTCCTCTAGTCCTAATCAAACATGGTATCTATTTTTTTAAAGGTGGGGGGGGGGGAACTTCATAAAAGTTATTTTAAAGAATAATTTAGTCTTATTGTAATAATGAAGATACAGCTTGATACAGATGCATATTTGTTAAGTATTTCTAAGACATGAATCAATGCCAGACTTACCATGTCAGTCTCTTCTTTAATATACCTAGTTTGCGAAGGCTTCAGTTGCTTAGAGCTAGTAATTCACCATTTTTGAGAGTCAGCACAATGAGAATTTTATATTCATTTTTCTACTAATACTAATCTTAATAACGACTTTCAGATATGGCTGAATTCCTATATACATAGACAGATACTCATGTGACTTCTTTGCATCTAATTTTAGTGGTGAAAATAATCATGAGTTAAGATGGTTCCCAAAATAATATTTTTGGCAGAGTTAAGTAAAACTTTTGCAGCCTTTGAAGTTTTAATCTTGGATAATAACAATAACTACTGTTTATTGAAAATTCAGTGTGCCAAGTGCCTTACTTATATCTAATCCTTACAACATCCCTGCAAGGCAGGTGAGCTACTGTTACTTAATGTTCCTCTTTCACAAGTGAGAATGTTAGCATTTGTGTACATCTGAGAGGTGTAGACCTGTGCTTCTGAATCATATTCAGTGTTGTAAACCAATGTTGCCTAGACAAAAAGTAATATAGAACATTCTATATTTGTAAGTGCTGTAATATAGACCAATCACAGTCTATACGAATATCAAAGCAGAACTTAAGCTAGCACAGCATTTTTGGTCAAAAAGCTCTCAAGATAAGAATTATCCAGAAGATTTAGTTGAGAATTAGTTCATAAATGGGAATGCTTTATTGCTGTGCCTTCACATTCTGTCAGCAGATTTCAATAGTTTATACTGCAGGCATTGATTATGTGACTGATTAATGCATTATTACTATTCCAATTATGTTGGAAAAGTTAATTTCCCAAGTTGCTCAGTTTGTCTTAAAATGAGTCATTGTGTTATGTACCAGATATGATAATATGAGTGATTTATGTACAGGGGTGACAGACATTCATCACTGAAAAGATTAGCTATGAGGATAAGGAGGATGATGATGTCTGATGAGATTTGAGAGGCCCCAATGAACCATGCCTCACAGTTCACACCTTGTCTACTCATCTTGAATCAGAGCTAGTGTTGTCATGAACTTGAACCAAACAAATGCAGTAAAGAGACAGCATGCCATCTCTGGGTCTAACAAACATTTAAGAGTCTTGAAAGTGACTATACCAAGTGCCACTAAGTGACACCCTGTAGTACCACACTAGGAGAAACACATCCTAGTCACACAAAAGGACTCTCAAAGCCAGCAATAACTTAGTGCCTGTGTAAGTGAGGCCACTGGTTCTGCTCTACAGTCTACAGCCCCACCTACCTCCTTGTCAGCTTATGGACGAAGCCTGTGTGTAAATTCTAACTGCCTCCACCCTCATTGGGCCAGGAATAAACCCAGATAATACATAACAATTCACTAAATAATTCCAGTAATACATTTTTCTTTCTGATGCACACACAAGGAAATCATTTACTAAATATAAGTTGAGTATTTTCAGTTTAATGAAACATCACTAATGTATAGTTTATTTTTAAAATAACAATGAACACCTAATAATGCAAACAAATTTTATCACTGAGCTTGGTGAAGACAACCCATGATAAAACATCAAACACTCTAAGTTCTTCCAACTTACCATTTTATATTCTTTCCAACCTCTTTGGAAGTCCAGACTTCCATCTTCACGATGTTGTATGACGGTCCACCCTCCCCCATTAAGATCCATATTGCAAAATACCTGACAGACCAAGGAAAAATAAAGGCAAATGAAAAAATGGGTTTGTTTTTAAAAAATGCATCAAATATGTTTCAAAATAGAAAGGACAGGTCAACAGACAAAATAATACAAAATTACTAAGTTGAAAATTTTAACTAGACGATTTACTGGTTATTTTTCCGTTTGAGTTATTCCTGCTTAAGTTCTATCAATAATGAACAAATTACTTCTATTAACTCATCTGTTGAAAAATGTCTAAAAAATTATAAAAAGTTAAGTAAAATAGTCTGTCTTAAATGGCAGTAGACACATATTTAATTTTTAAAAAATGAGACTATAGTTTCCAAAATTACAGACTACCTTACTGCCAAAATGTTAAGAATTGGAATCTTAAAAATTTTAATTAATTGAAATAGCAATATAACAATTCAGGTTTTGTAAAAATTATTTTTAAAAAGTCACATGTTTATTATATAATTCAGTGCATATTAATTCCTATACTTAAACATTACAATAATTATTCTTGATGGTTCAATATGCACTAGAGGCAAAATTTAGTTCTCAGCATATGAAGAATACATTATTTGCTTAAATTTTCATCATGTACAATAAGAGGAGACATGACATACTGTATTCCTTCTTACTGTGACAAGCATTTCTTTCCCATGTGGAAAAGTTATCCAAATATTTCAAAGATTTATGCTTATTTCAATTACTTTAAGTATAACAGTATTTATATGGAAATTGATTCATTTCCCCCAGAGTGCACCCAAGGAGCTAAGTGTATTAGTAATGGGATTATCTTTGGAGAACAATCACTGTAATTGGTGTAGCATGAATGTGGCAGCTTGATTATTCAGGGAACTGGCTACAGGGAACAGCATTCCCCCAGCAATTGTCCATGAAAGCACTATGGAGGCTGACTGCAGGTATAGATGTGAGGCCACAGCAGCAGGCAAGCTGTGTGGGCGTAGAGCTAAACTCTGATTGAAGGAAAATGCCAAACATTTTCCTGAGGCATTAATTTAGGACCACAATTGGTTAAAGGGTATAAAGACAACAGTAAGAAACTATCACTCAGAGACCAGTTGTCCTTGCACTACCTCGGAGTGAAAGCAGCTGAGAAAGACATGCGTATTTGTGAACATTTATAATAGGCCAAGTGCTCTCCTGAGGACTTGTCCTCAATCTGACAAGTCACCCATCAGTGTGTTTTCATCATGCCTAAAACTTGACTCACCTCCAAGGTTATAAATTTGTAATCCCCCTCCCTGTCCCAAGGTTTCCTTCTCTAGGGCTCTGTTAACCCTTCTGTACCTGTGCTTTGTCCTCAGGATGACCTCTAGCTAGTCTGGCTCTCTTTGAATTCCAACTCATCATTCTCTTATTTTTCAATGAACAAGCATTTTTGGACACTGATTCTGTGTGCTACAGCTGGGGATATTATGATGAATAAAATACAGATAATGCCCTCAAAGTGCTTAAAAAATTTGATAGTAACCATTCTTGCATAATTACAAAACTAGAAGAGTCCACAGTTTTACTCCAAGATTTGAAGAATAGGGACAGTGATCTGAAGGAGAAATGAGAAAGACAGCTAATAAAATAATTAAAGTTTTGGAGATCTAGACTTTGAGGTGGTATAATCACCTGTGAGCATTAACTGATCCGTTAGAAACAATCTACTGGAAATAGACCAAAGATGAGAGCATGGATAAGAAAATAAATAAGGGAATAAGCAAAGAACTAGCCATTAACCATAGCATATGTGGTAAATACCATAAAATTTAAATGCTACATATATTCCTAACTTCATTTCACAACAAATCAATGAACTACTTATTATTATTATCTTCATATTATAGATGAAAAAAAATGAAGCAAAGAGTAGTACAGCAACTTACCAATCGTTATATTTTATAAAAGTGACTAGATCTAGGATATAAACCATGTGTCTACTTTCTTTAAAATAATATTAGGAATAACCTGCTTGAAGTAGGAGTAGATGGCATGAAGACAGACTGTTTTTAAAAGTAAAGAAAGTAACGTAAAGAGACTGCATGTGTGTATGTGTACAATAACTGTGATTTTGCATATAAGTGATAAAGTAGGACTTTACGTGTAAGTGATAAGGTACATCAAGTTTTACATAGGCTAGTATTTTTATTTGCAACCATCTCAGGACCTAGAGCAGTGTCTAGCCTACAGCAATGCTAAATGAACATTAGTTGAACAAAAAGATCCAGTAAGAAAACATAAAAGAGGAAAATTTGATGAATGGAATGTAATTAAACTGAAAATAGATCTTGATTTGGGGGAGTGACCCCGTTAATCAAATACTCCAGAGAAGTCAAGGAAAATAAATATTAAGAATGCACATACTTAAACTGAAAGTGGAATTATCAGTTATCTTGAAGTGAGACTGCAGAATCCTATGAGAATAAAACCTTGATGGCACAGTTTGAGAGCACAGTGGTGATTCAGGGTAAGTGGCCAAGTGGAATTTTAGTGGTGTAACTTAAATAAGTGAAAATATAAAAGGAATATTTGCTGAGGCTAATCTTTCTCATTTTTAAATTAAATTTTACCTTGTTTTGATTGATTAATCCAGAACGTTTTCCCCAGATTTTTGTTTCCTCACAGATACTGCCTGTAAGTTTACCAAATAGTGTTCACAAAACTATAAAGTATACTTATATAATCAGGGATAGGAATAACTATCCTATGATAAACTACATTTACCAGTATGAGTGTGTAGAGGGAACTATTCTTTAGAGTTTTTACTAGTTTTAACCTATTATGAAAAATATGGAGTGAACAAAGCCAAAATACGTAGAAGTTAATTTAGAGTCCTTATCATTAATGCTTCTTGTTAACAATATTGGCAACATTAACCTATATAAATGTTACTTTTCATTATATGTTAAATACAAATACATTTATAGATATTTAAGAAATTGTGTTTATACTAACAAAAAAAGACTATGCTACTTCTAGTTAGAAGAAAAATAAAAGCTTATGATTAAAGGAGAAAGAATGTTCAAGAAAATAGGGGTTATTTCCAGAAAGATTTGTGACATGAAAGGCCTTGAAAAGTTCACTTGCCAATACTGTGTGGTCTCTGTTATCTGGCGGTGTCCTTCCTGTAGACAAGGGCCCTGCTACAGTACTATGCCTGTTGCATTTATTGATCAGATGACTTGGGCTTAATGCTGTCCAACAAAAGACTAAACTGGCTCCTATCCCAGGCAAGGTCGAAGCTTTCAAGCATTAAATGCCTTTTAACATAATACAAAAATTTAAAGCCAAACAAAAAGGGAAATTTGATTCACATAGTTCTTATGCTTTTATGCTCCATACAAGCTGGAATGAAGATGCTTTTGGATATTAATCATTTTGCCATAACTTTACACAAAAAGGCTCAACACAATCACTAAAGTTTTTTTTCCCCAAGAATGAAGGGAATTATGAATTCAGAAATAAATTACAATATGTTACAATAAGCAGCTATGATTACTTTATTTCTTTGGATAAAACTAAGCTGGCTATCTATAGAGCATTTGGTTTAAGAGATGTATGAAGTGAAAGGAAAAATCCTATTTTGTGCTATTTGCATCAAAGTGGGAAATAAACACAAGTCATTAATAATATAAAAAGTAAACAATACATAGATGAATAATTATCATTTCCTATATGCTTGAAAAATTAAATAGTTCTATTAAATTGAGCTTTTTCCACATCACATTTGAAATATAACACTTTTCTAACATTTGCAGATATTCCTTCTTGGTAGGGAATATATCAGTCAAAGCAATAACAGCATAGTAATTCTGTACCCGAACGATTCTTACTATGCCTCAAAGGTGAATAATTTCTATTAATAGTTTTTGCAGTTACCTAAATGGTCCAATTTTATTGACTGATCATACAATTTGAATATTTTATTTTTAAAATTTATTTATTTATGCATAAAAGAACTGGGGCCCAGGGGTGAGAGGATTCCTCCAAAGAAAGTGTGGGGAGCAGAACAGACAGATCGACTGAAATACACTGCTGAGGGGAGCAGCGGGTGAGTCAGGAGAGGTCTGCTGTGCCAAGTGGGTCAGCTCCCTGGCCAGGGATGAAACTCATGCAGTATTGGATAGCTTCACAGTACTGCGCTGTAACTCCTTGTGCCACCAGGAAGACCCCATTTTTTAAAGAGATTTGGTTTGTGATGCTGATATTTGCTAGAACATCTTTTGCAGTGAGGAAAGCTTTTGCTCAGTATATCCAACCATTACTGAATTCAGGAGACAGGGTACACTGGGAGAGTGCAGTTTAGATTCTTCCCCTTGACAATTACGTGACAACTGCCAAACTAGTTTCCAAGATAATTTCCCTCACTCCTCATAGGAAACTAACAATCAGTAAGTTTGACTTACTTCTATATTCTATATATATTCTATATAGAAGTATTGTCATTAGCAAGTCATTTCTTCATTTACTTGGCACATATTCTTGAAGACCTACTATGTGCCAAAAACTATTCTGGAGCCCAGGAAACTGAATGTAAAAAGGAGCAATCTTTACCAGATAAGATTCTGGAAGTCAAAAAATTATGCAAAGTTGCTTGAGGGAATCAGGGAAGGCCTCCAAGAACATCTGTGTAGTACTCAGAGGAAACAGGGACTGAGTAGAGCAAGGAATGGAGGAAAGTCATTCCATCCTTGGAGAATGGAACACTACAAGGACAGGTAGTTCTTGTGGCTTTGAATATTTAGTTAAAAACTTTACACGCTGAAGAACAGGGATCTTCGCAAGGCTCTCCATGAATACTGCTTCAAACAAACTACACCTGCATTACTGCACATCTTCAGTTAACATTTTGATTATCCATGTCATCATTTGGCTTCACTAGTAATTTGGGCATTTTTTAATACTGTGCCCTATGCCAGTGACTAACTGATGAATGACATTCGCTAAGTATATTCTGAAGGAAGGAATGGATGCATAATTTAATGAACAGGGAGAAAGTATTCAATGTAGGTTGACAGAAAAAGGTAGCATTTTCTTACTTTGAGGTTTAATTTGTATCCTGTTCAACCTACTCTTTCAACTAGAAAGGAAAAAGCAAACCCTTTCAGATTGTGAGTTGAGATAGCATATATTTCTCCTACTAAAATAGGAGTGGTATTCTGAAGATAGCTATATGTCCCTTCTTCCCTCTCCATGGTATTTGGACTATAGATGATGTGTGCCATCTGGGTCCTAAATTCTTCCTCTGGAACTTTAAGTATATGTGACTTTGATAAGTAGCCTATACAAGGCAAGCATTTATGAGCAGAGGGACATTCCAGGAATGAGCACAGAGCAAATAGAAAACTGTGTGTGAAAGAGAGCTGAGAGATGTGGGGGCTGGGGGGCTGTCTGTACAAGAGTTTTCATCTTTTATGGACCTGGGAAACAGAGTATCTTTGGGAGAAAAGAGCTCAAGCATATATATTTTTGGTTTAACAAGCTCACAAATCAATCTGATTATTCAGCAATTCGACTAGGATCTGCTTTACATCTCGTAAACAAACACTTCTGGTTTTACCTTTTTGGGTTCTGGCATATTATTAATATAAATAGTGTAGATTCCACTTTTATTAAAACCAGCTTGATATACATCTGCACAGTCTCTAAATGGTTTCTCTTCCTCTTTTTTTCCTCCCTTTAGTAAAACTGCAAAAAAAAAATTGCAATATGTGAATAAGTACCATTAGTACCCAAATGGACTCAAATATAACTAAACAAATCTTCATTTCTTCCAAATGAATGTCAATGTGCATCATTTATTGTAAATTCAATTATAAAGACAGTACAAGGCTTGTAGATGACACATAAAATGACAAAACAGAAATTTATAGAATAATTTCTAACTGAATACTTTTTATATGTTGCTTAATTTCTTAAATCTTTTCTCTGTAACTTTTCCAGGCTATCAACTCAATAGATAAATAACTTAGTCATGAAATACCTCCAATTAGTAAAAATTATGTCAATATTTCACAAAATTTCTAAAATATTCTTCCTACACTTCATAGGAAAGTCTAAAGAGATAAAGATAACAAATCCAAACAAAAATATAGTTTGGAGGCTTAAAATGATAAAAAGGAGCTATTGTGGTTTTTTTTTTTTTCTGTGACTTTAGACTGAAGAGAGAAGGAAACAAAACTTTTTTTTTTTTAATTTAATGTCCTGAAATTAAAGTATCAGCCATAGGACACACAAATATAAGAAGAAAAATCAATGAGAGTTGATATTAAGTAAAATTGATGAAGAATTCAACATAGACAAAGTCAAGTAAAAAAGAACATATAACTACTAGAACTTCACTTATTCCCTAAGCTTGATCCATAATTTAGTTTTAATGCTATCAAAACATAAAATGACTCAAATTAGTAGTCATCAGCTGAAGATACAGACTGAATATTTATAAAATATTTTAAGATTTAGTATTTTCTAGTGGATAAGTATCAATTTAGTATTTAGATTTATTAACCTTTTTCTAGGAGTTAAGATTAAGAGAAGTGAAGGAATTATGCTAAGCAAAATAAGCCAGAAAATGAAAGATAAATACTACATGGTACCATTTACACATGTAATATAGAGAAGCAAAGGGTCAGATAAAGTCAAACTTAAAAACTAAACCTGGAAAGCTGACCACAGAACAAAGGCTTCCAGAGAGGGAAGATGAGGGACAGTACAGTGGATGTTGGTGGTGGGTGTTCTGTGACTCCTCCTGAGGGGGAAGATCTTGTACTTCCAAAATACTAACAATGATGTAAACCAATGGTACCTCATTGCAAAATTTAAACAAAACAAACAAGCAAACAGGATTATGAGATATGACAGCAGGCAGACAGTGCTTTCTTGTTCAAGGATTACTTTGCATCCTCTTCAGGCAGCCAGCTCAGTTATAGACAAATATAAAAAAGCAAAAAAGCAAACTATTTCAAGGTTATGAATTCAGATCAAGTAACAGGACAGTGTTTTCCCATACAAATAAATACCTGCTTTCAAACACTTTGAGTCAGAATAATATCAAAGGTAAAATATAAATCAATGTTTTTAACTTCATTTTAAACACACTAACAATCTAAAATACAAGTATCATTTGAATTTAAGATGCGTGACATTACCAATTTATAGGTAATTGAAAATAAATAGTAAAAAACTTGTGCAAAGAATGTCTACCTCAATATAAATATTTCAAGTATTCAAAAATAATTGCTTTAAGGAAAGTAAAATGTCCAAGTTAGTACTGTAATAACAAAAATATAGAATTAAACCTTTAGTCACATAGTGGTTAAGTGCATAAATCACATCTACACTAATGGTCTTGACTACTCTTAATTATACTAAAAACCACCATCACAGTTGCAATATCAACACAAATTAACAAAACAGAAGGTAAGTAATTGGGTTTGTATAATAATGTAGCAGTATTGAGTAGAATGTATACAAATAGCAATGTAAAAATGGATACCTAAAAGTTGACTCTAAATCCCTCCATAATGGAACTGAGAGTGGCAATAAATTACATAAAGGTATCGCTTTAAAAAAACATGAATGCATTTCATTTGTACTTGTTTGTTTGAAGTGAATGGACAGTCACTTGTCCTAAACAAAACCTCCCCAAAGTCTAACTGCTTGCTTGCTCTTCTTTTGAAAAACTGAAAATGACCAAACTGTTTGCAATAAAAGAGAATGCAGAAAATAACTAAATAAAATTTATTAACAACACAGGAAGATGTGGTCAATAGGAATTCAATGGTAAGCCTATGTTTCTTTTTCTGGGTGAGAGATAGACAAAGTCATTTATCTAAGGAGAAACACTTTTCTTGTTGAATATTCCACTTCCTGCTCCCCCTTATTAAGTTGTATAAAGAGAATACATTCCTCCCACTTCTCTGACACCCACCTCCCCAACTCTTTTCCTTTTCAGGAAGATGTGGGGGAGTGGCAATTGTGTGGGAAGAAAGAAGCGATTTCAAGTACATTTACAGAGAGATAACAACAAAGTTGGGTATTATCTTACTTTTCTGGAAAATAATTGTATAAAAATAATATCCAAACCATTAAGTTTTAAAATTGGAAACATGTTTGAGGATTGTACCATAAAAGGTACAATTATGGTTAGACTCTTAATTTGTGGTCATATAAATCATATCATAAAGCCATGACATCATATATGATGTAATATTTCATTTTGTTAAAACAATCAGGTATTAAAAAATTAAACCACCTTTATCTAGAAGTACTCATCCTTTTCAGAAATACGATGCTGTTTGTTTTTGTAAACATGCCTGAAAGTTTTATCTAGGCTACATTTTAGGGTATTCAAACACTTAAAATCAATTTAAAAGCTTTCTTCTCAGCTTATCCTTTGATACTGTACTGTAGATTTGAAAGTCTTTTCATTTCTGTTAGGGGAGACTGATATTCAAAGTTTGTTTTTTCAATCTGAAATGGGGCAGCTGTACATACATAGCCTTCAGGCAAGTGTGTGAATTACATAATAGAGAGCAGCGTGACTGAACTATACAGTAAGTACTCAGGCAGAATAGTTATTGTTATGGCAATAAAACTATTATTAATAGCAACATTCTGTCAATTATTTTTCTTATGGAATAGGGCACTAGCAGGCTGAGGGAGGCTTGCCAGTCCAGTCAATGGGGTGATGAATGCTGCCTTTTTCCCACTCTCAACTCTAAATATTGAGACTGACTAAACGCAGAGCATTTGCAATTGACTAGTTACATTTACAAATACACTGAATTGGCTTTAGATCATCAAATTGGTTAATTGGCTAATTTTATTCTGACTACATCAGATTATTTCATTTGAGTTTTAAGAATGTCATCTAATCTTACTGTGTATTATAACTCTTATCTGATTAAGGCTTAAAAGTTATTTAAGATGAAATGGTATATGTCATCTACCTATATCAATAGGTTGACTACACAGGTTTTAGCTTATGACTTAAGTGACTATTTTCTTCATTAAGATTGGAAAATTCTGAGATTCAATTTTATGATTGCATAATATAAAGCCGGAAAAAGTAAACATTTTAAAAGAAAGACAATAACAAGGATGGATTTACTGAGCTTCACAAGTCTTACAACTAAGGATGAATTTTCTAGGACATCTTAAGATTCAAGAAAATGACTGCAGGAAAGTATGGTAAGTTCAATTGACAAATATGGAAAATCTGTTAGAAGAGTATAAAAGAAGCATCAACTATGCAGATCTAAGAGAAAAGAATTGATATCTGATATTTTAGATCATGAACTAAAAAAAAATTTATCTTTACATCTAAAACTCCCTTCTTTTGACAACATTCTCTTATCTTTTCATAATTTACCTTTTTTTTTTACTCTTTATTTTTATTTATTATTTTTTAAGATTTATTTATTTGTGCATACAGAATTGGGGTACAAACCAGAGGTGCAGAGGCAGTGAGAGAATTCACCAGAGACACAGTGGGAAGTAGAACAGGCTGACTGACAAAGTACACTGCTGAGAGGAGCAGCGGGTGGGTCAGGAGAAGTCTGCCCCGCCATGTGGGTCATCTCTGGGGAAGGTGTGGATCAAACTCATGTGGAAGAGGCTTTAGCTTCTTAGGGCTGTGCTTTAATCTGCTGCACCAGCAGGGAGGGCCTTTTTTTTTTTTTTTTTTTTAACTCTTAATGATTTGTCTTTACTTTAATTGAAAGGCTAGATCCTAATTATTATTAGCCCCTTCCAGTCTTTCCTTTATTTCTTTATAGCTTTGGTTTGAATTAGGCATTAATATAGAACTGTTCAGATGGAATTAATGCTACTCTCCATCCTGTTACCCACTAACTATTCACTTGTGTTTGTAACATTCTCACTCTAAATTTTTTATTGCAAACACTGAAGTGAGACTATTTAATCCCATCCAAATGCATTTTGTAAACTCAGCTGTGTTCTCCATGTTGCTCAGCTGAACCTGGGATCATTTTTAAAAGACTTTCTATTACATTTCCTGTACAGTGTATTTTATTTTATTTTATGTTTTTTCAATACTAGGTCTTACTCTTAATTGTTCTCACACTTTTTATGTGACCTTGCTTTATAGTTCACTATGAAGATCAAAATAATTTGATACATCTTCTCAACCGTCTTACTCTACCAACATGTTTTTGCTTACCTTTTCCCCAACCATTTGTGTTGAGTTCTCTTACTCCCTTTCTACTTCTCAATTTTTTTCCTGTCATCTTCACTAAATTCTCTTTCTCTCCTCACCTTCCATTTAGATGTTCACCAACATTCCTTTCTCGTATCTCTATTCCTTATGCATTGCTCTCTCTCTCTCTTTTTATTTTTTAACTATTATGACATCAAATATCTATACAGTAGGTTTCTAGGACATAAGCTTATTTTGACACTTTTCCACTTGACCATCAGATTCTTATTTCTACTTATTTGTTCAAGGAACTTAACAGTCCACTGTTCCTTTAGTGTTAGTCTTTCCTTCCAAACCCTGTGTTTTTTTCTTTTTCTTACTGCTTTTGCAATCCTCCCTCAGTTATCATTAAGAGAACCCACATGTATGACAAATACACTGAAGCTCTTTAGTTGGCCTCCCAATTAAAGAGCTTGCCTCCTTTTTGTTTAATCCATCTTATATTAATTAATTCAACAAATATTGATTG